GCGGTTCCCGGGCATGTCATGAAGGTGTGATGGCACTGGCCATGGGCAGCTCCCTAATCCCTTTTGCAACAGGCTTTCCACTTCGCCCGGAGTTACCCTAAACCCTAAACCCTAATGATACTACTCCGAGACCTCGAGGGACCAGGCCAAAGCCTTTTCTGGGGCTCTTTGTGTGTGTGGATGGTTCGGGGAGACGCTCCCCATGAAGTTGATGCTAAGCATTGCTAAGCAGCTTTCAATGTTCCGAGTGATAGACACCAGAACGAACTATAGTTCCTGATCAAAAAGCCTTGATACCTTCCGGCGCTTCGGGCAACGTGACTTGAGCAGTAGCGTCGCTAAGGGGTTGTCGGTTGAGCGTTTTACCCCTTCAACCCTCCATGCAAAAGTTTCGTCAAAGAGCACCTGACATCAACGATGAAGTTGAATGCGCTATGGAATAGACTCACGTGTCCCAGACAAAGCACCACTTCCACACTGTTTCGGGGACCAAAACCAGCTTATAACCGTGTAAAACTCCTGTAGCGGCAGCGTTGGCCTCTAGCCATACCTGGACAAGAAGGAAGCCCCGTGATGCTTAACGCTGAGGTGGCTTAAAGGGAAAATTTGCTTAAGGGGCTCACTGCCAGGATCCCCATCTTAATTCTTGCTGGAGGGAAGGTATTGTATCAATTTTCGGGCCTACATTGGTAGGGCTAGCTGGGCTCTATGTTTGTTGGTCTCTGTTTCTCTTTTCATGTAGGAAGTCTTTCGTGCCAGGGCTGGTGGCTCAAGACAGTGTAGGTTCAGGTATCTAGAAGGTTGAAGTTGGGGCCTTCGGGCACAGCAAGGGCTGGGGGTTCAGTATCGCGACCTCAACCAAGGCGAGCTGGGAGAATTGTTCGGGGCTTCGGGATTTCGCAGTTTAGGGTTCAGGGCTCAGGCTCGAGGGTTCTTAGGGCTAGGCTTTTCCGACGGGCATGCAAGCTGAGCCCTAGAATCCATAGAACTACTGTTGATGGACAATTCTGCATGACACAAATATAGTATAGTACCATAAATCCCATAGTGTAGGTATAATAAGGTCATGCAGGATTTTGTCCATCAGCCGTACGAAGACCCTTGCAGTGACTAAGAACAGGGAAAACATCCTCAAGAGCGACTCTGAAATCTCCCCCTGCTAAGGATTCCGAAACCCCACGAAAAAATCTCACCCCAATCCCCAAGGCCCTGGCCAAAACCCCTGAACCCTCGCAGCCCCAAGTCCCGAATCCCGAGTAATGTTGGGGCCTGAATTATTAGAATAGGGTTTTGGGGGCTGCTTATTGAAATTATTGTGTAATATACCCCAAAACCCTGTTCTAATTATTAAGGGCCCTCTATTCTGCCTGCCTGGCATGCAGCAACAAGCTCCAGTGGCTGAAGCGCCTTTGCCTTCTTTGGCTTGACCTGAAGAGATGCACAACGTAGGAGCATCATCTTAAGGAGCCTTTTGGTTTGTATCCCCTGAGAACTCTGGGATCCACGTGTTTAATGGGGTTTAGGGTTTAGGATTTAGGGTTTAGGGTTTGGGCCAGAACAGGGATCCGGGTTGCCCAAATTCCAGAACCCTTCCCAAACGCGGACACCTCAACACCTACCGGGGCAAAACTTGACCATCGCTCCATATATCTCCAGTTGCCAACAGTGCAAATCTTGTTCGTCGACCACATGTCATCAATCGTAAAGTCGAAAGTTGCACCAACAACATGGGTACTTCTCTGAATTCGGGGTTCGCAAATGGAGACTTTGACCAAGAAGACTCTCGAAGAGAGTCCTGGTTACTCAGAATAGGAAGTCAGAACGCAGTATCCGAGTGTCAAGTTCTCAATCTGATTACTGTAACCCTTGCAATCCCCGTGGCATCCCAAACCAAGACCCCTCTCGATCCCACAGTCTAGGACCTTGAACCTATGAGCTGGTTGTACTTGGAAGCCGCTTGATGCTACGCTTGTTGCTCCTTCTGAGACTACCAAAAAATACCAGATATTTGTCCGCAAGAGCTGTCTTGCAAAACAACATAGACTCCCAGGCCCCGCGCCACAGGAAGGTCTTCCAGCGCAGCGGTTTCCTTCCATATTTAGGGTTGCTGAAACCCAAACATTCCTAAGTCCTCCTGTAGGGTCCATACAGTTCGAATGGGGGTTTGTGGCCCATTACAGTAGCATGTAATCCTAAAGAGACCATAAAGGTGGAATGCTATTAAACATTTCGACCCCTGCCTTTAACCCTGAACTTTTACGGGAGGGCGGGAAGAGGGGGGCGGGCGCACGTCGAGAAAAGGCCCCGTGGCAGCAGGAGGTGGTCGGTTGGCTAACTTCCGTCAAGTAGTTCCCTGGCCCAAACGGGCTAACCTTTTCGAACTAGATGAACTAAAGGTGGTAGGCTTGTACAAACCCCAAAAGGCTCCAGACTCTGCCCCACTCATCTACCAGGCCCTTGTAGTAAGCCTAAACCTCATGGGACTCAACCTGGTGGCTGCCTTCCGGCACTTGGCTCTTGGCTCAAATTCTTACCCCGAGCCTCAAGCTCCATGAAACCTGAACTCGAAACCTTGGTATAGGGGCCGCCAGTAATCAGAACACTTCTTTTGCATTTCGTATGGGGGGCTTCAAAGGCGTTGTAGGTTTTGCACATATCTTCATACTCCGGATTAGGTTTCGGTGTATCTTATAGACTAAGTGTGTAGTGGGGAATATGAGGGGATAACTGCTTCCCATCTCCACAATACCCGAATTACCCGTCACAGCCTACTATATACTACGTCACTCGAAATTCTATACGTCGGCTTCTGTCAGGCCGAGCAAAACACTTCCAGTGAAGACCTTACCTCCGAATCACACACCACTCAGAAAGTCCTACGAATCCCTTGTGCGAACCGCACAAAACATGGTGCAAAACCCTACGCATCCCCATACGGCCTTTTCAAAGACCTTCAAGGTCTTGTTGAGGCCACTCTCGGTCAGAAAGCGCTTGACTGCCGGATAGATGTCCTCAGAGCTAGAAGGCGGACTCCCAGGATGTACTCTTTCATTGGGGCTCCTTTGGCGTGGAACATCAATGTCGAAAACCCGTCACAACTCTGCGTGGTACAAAGCTCTCACTAGTGTCGTGTAGTACCTTCTGGGATACTAACCATGCGGCAGGTTATACAGAAGATTCCACTGTTTAGGGTCTAGGTGTCAGGGTAGTCCCCAAACTAGTCGGTTGTTGGAGCTGCAGTTCAGCCCCAACACAGGCCCGGCCCCTCAAAGATGTTAAGCAAAGAATCGTTCCCGACGAGTATCCTACCCTTTCCAGCTGTTTGAAGATAGCTCCTTCCACCCTGACAGATAAATCGATACCAAAAGACCACACCCCTAAACCCAAGAAGGATTGAACAAGGGTGCTATAACCACAATAAGGAGCCCTATCGGGTGATATGAGTTAGGATACTCCTTCACTGTACATACTAAGGAGTCCGAAGGAGTGCTCCTAGTAGTTAGCCCGAGCTCTGCATTTTCTCGAACGGTGTGGGAAAGGCAGCCCCTAAACCCTACACCCCTAAAGGCAAGACCGTGGGAAAGCAGCCAGGTCACCGATGGGTTGACCCTCATGCTGTGATCCTGCAGGGGCTATCACTCAGGGCTACTTGTACCCATAAAGGGGTATTGTAATCTTGCTATAAAGTGAAACTTCCGGTGCACTCCGGGCTGTCTTGAGGGTTATCATCAGATTACAATAGTTACCGTATGGTCTTGGGATGCATTGTAAAATACCTGTATTCAGGGACTCTAATCAAGGAGTATGGGAAGGTATTTCAGGCTGTTTCAAACTGTTGAGCAGACATGAACATCATGAACACACAGTCTACTAGAGGAGTTTGGAAACTACATGTTACATGTGTATATATGTCGATACGTATGTATGTTTACGTGTAATACTTCCATGAACCTGTGTTTGTAGGTGTGTGCGTCTATGTATACACACACTTCTGAAGACGCACACACACACACACATACGTATGTACTCGTGATCATTCTGTAGTGCAGAAATCCGACATCACATTACCGAAGCCGGAGGCTCTCCTGCTTCTCTTATGCTTCTCGTGTCTCACCTGGGATGACGCCGAAACACAGAAACACACGCCGAAGGCCGGAGCCCCCACCCCCAGCTCAGCCCGCCCCTACTTCCCCACCCTAAAGCCCAGACGCTGCATCTGCAGTGCAGAAGGATGCATTTGACCAGGGTGTTGGGGGACTCTATACTATAAATATGCGATGGAAACATGGGCAGTCGTGGTATTCGGTTTTAAGCGCATGACACCCTAGCACCCGAAAACCTAAGGAGCGCAGTCCTGCAGCGCAGGCGCAACGACAGGAAAAACGAGTGGCTTGGAGCCGAGGCTGCGCTGACACTGGAATTAATTGCGGAAGTAGCTCTTAACCATCCAAGAAACATTGCACTAAACTAAGGCCTCAACCAAAGTCCGAAAAGAGAATCTGCTCTGCCTGCGAAACTTACACTACAAAAAACCGAGCCCTAATTCTCACCTAAACCCCTCAACCCTATACAACCCTGAGGCCCCTATCTTAGCATGGCTGCCCCCAATAGGCAACACAACCCTTTCATTGGAGTCTCCGAATAAAAACGAGCACTGCAGCCCCAAACCGTAGCTTCAAGGTCGGAAAACTTCACAAGACTATTCCTTGGCGTACCTTATTCTTTGTCTATACTAGAATGTACCTCAGAACCTAGTCCAATCACTAAGGCCCCCATATGATAGAGCCCTTATAGTCACCCTTATAAGGGTGAATTTAACACCCTGAAAGGAACCCTTTCAAACGGAACCCTCCAAAACACAAACCTAAACTCTAAACCTCTATCCCATACCGAAACCCCTAAACCCTTTTTACCCCTAAGCCCTAAACCTCTATTATCCCATACACCCCTAAATACTGTAACCCCTAAACCAGACCCTCTTTGTCATGTTGGGACCCGGCATCTTCCTCCGTGCTCCCCTCGGAAGGCCCTTGGCTGGTTCGGGTGGCCACGAACGAGGCTTCGGGCCCCGAAAAGCTGTAGGGAGCCTGTAGAAGGGACCCCTTAAAGGAATCTGAAACCCCTTACAGGGTGTTGTGTACTGTAAGGTTTGAGGGTTTTTGTTTGGATTTTCTGCACAAAGGTTTTGTAGGGCTCTAGGGTCTGGGGAGTACCTTGTTGCTGACTAAATGAATCAATAGTCAGATTGTTATTGTTGGGGTACTTCTAAGAAGTTTACAGTATAAAGAATGTTCGAGCGTTGAGTGAAGGTTTAGGGTTTTCGTTTTTAAGTCTCGAGACCTGGACTCGCGCATTCCAGGCGAGGCAACTGAAACATTGAAACGAACGACTCGACCTATAGAATCGCGAACAAAGGAGCATCATACCTATCTAGGATCTACACTGAGACAGTTTCGCTGAGCTTTCCGACGATACTAGTAGAATTTTGCTGTAGGGCTGAACGACCATGTAAGAAACAAGTGGGAACTTCAGCGGGCACGGGAGCTCGATATAAACCGTACACACGCACCCATCTTGAAAGTTTACTGGGCCCGAAGCGACACTGTCGCCAGACCCCAAGCGACTTGCCAGCCCGAGAACCCGAACCCTATACTCCCCGAACCCTCGAAACTGCAAAGAACCTTATGGAGCCCTTCAGACCCGAAAAACCGAAACCTACAAACTTAGAGCCGTAAATCCCAAGCCCTAGTTACGAGCTTTGGCGAGGCAAGGCTCTGAGCCACTTCGGGTCGAAGTTGCCCTGGAGGTTTGCCACACGGCCTGGGCTCAAATACCTAAAGCTGTCGAGAGCAGGATGAGGCCTTTGTGGTTTGGGCCTTGGCCTAGGATTTTGGATCGGGTCTGGGCGACATTTCACTCAGCCCCATGCGTCATGGTGAGAGCTCCCGACTTGCGGCCGCATCTTCGAGACGCGCAAGTATGAGGCCATTCTGGTCCACTAATGACCGCGATGATTAAGACGAGAACGATGAAGAGACGGAGGGTGAAAGCAACAGTGTTGATCTGCTAGTCACTGACGCGGAGCTCAGAAGCTTCAACCCAATCCTAAATGCTTGCTACTACTATAGTTAGGATCGTGAGAGACTCTGTCCGTCGGGTCTGCTCTCAGCAACTGCGACGTCCCCACCCGCAAACCCAGATCCCGGCAGCCGAACCCGCAAAAAAGCTGAGCCTCAGAATCCGAAAATCCTGATTCTTCGAACAGGTAGAGCCATACAACCGCCAAGTCCTGAGCAAAGCATGAGTGCCACCACCAAATCCTGAAGATAGAGGCTTTACAGAACCCTTGCAGCAACCCTCAAAGTTTAACCCAGAACCCTGGAACTTCGAACCCTACGCTCCGGCACTCTGTGGGCCTCCGGTTTTCGCAGCCTCTGCCTGTGGCAGACTCACAACTCTGCGCAAAGAACTTCAAACACCATGGTCTGAATTCAATGGCAACGAAGAGAAGCGGAACAAAACACCATGCTGTAAACAACGGCCGCAAAAAACCTACTAATTCACACCTTTTCGCGCCCACGGCCTTCAGCTGCGAGGAAGCCTCAGCGAGATCCGTGGCAGTGTCCACGGTCACGACGTCGTAGCCGGCCTCGGACAGGTAAGGGCCTTAAGAAAGGGTTCCTTGACGGGTTCTACAGGTTTTTGGTGGTGCGTTTGGCGATGAGGCTTTAGGGCTGAGGGTTTGGGGCACTGGGGGTGGGGGCGTTTCCGATTCCAGGTTCTGCTTTGCGAATTTTCAAAGCTTTGACGTCCTCCAGAGATCCGAAACCTCAACGACCAAAGCTGTTCCCACACCCCGCAAAGTCAGCCCTAAACCCTTAACCCTTACACCTGAACCCTTAAACCCTAAACCCCCAAAGCCAGGCCTAAACCCTGAAAGCTCCTGAGATGGGTTCGGATCTCCGGGGTCTCTGAAGCCGAGTTAAGGGAAGGGGTGAGGGTTTAGGGCTTCTGGTTCAGGGCTGAGGGTTTGCATGGGGTTTCGGGTTTGGGGTTTGGGGTTTCGGGCTTCGGGTTTAGGGGTAAGGGTTTGGGGTTTCGGGTTTTGGGGTTTCGGGTTTAGGGGTAAGGGTTTGGTGTTTCGGCGCTCGCAGCTCGGACAATCAAGGCGAGTGTTGCAGGCTTCGGGGGTAAAGGCTGGGTTTGTTCAGGCTGGCTGAGATAGCTCTACACGTATTTGCATGGGACATAACACTGAGAATGAACTTGAGGAGAATCATATTGAGGAGCCCTGATTTATAATACAAGAAATGATTCCAGCTTCTATTTTATTACGTCATCATTCAAACACACCCTGAAACACCATAAGTCTACCCTCGCCTTGCGCAGCCCTGAGCCGAGCCTAATGTTCTACCCCAGTAGAGCTTCATCGAACCCCTCAGTCGCCCAGAAAAGCACCATTCTCAGCAGATAGTGTGGTAATGAGCCTGACTGAAACGATATACTTCAGAACCCAAAAAAAGCTGGGGTCTGATGGGCTTTAGGCTTCCTGAAGTGTGCCAAATCGAAATCGGAGGACCCCTCCAACCCTTCACAACCTGAAATCCAGACCTTAAAGGGTTCTATAAGGGCTCCTATAAGGGTTTAGGGTCTAGGGGCCTTGGCCCACTCAAAGCCCCAATGCCCAAAGTCGTAAAGCCCAACAATCCCAAACTGCCCTTCACAAGAACACCCAAATCCCAATCAGACAACCCTAAACCCAAGGAAAATCGAGGAACCGTCTGGAGGTCCGTCAGGGCGTAGCAGGCACCCCGAGGGAAGACCATCAAAGGCACCTGCAAAGATCTTCCAAGAACCCTTTAGCTGTACCTTTTCGGGTTCCTCATGATTTCTATATGTGCTTCCTTAAAAACCTGTCAATTCCTTGTCACTCATTATATGATCGGTTTAGGGTTGTTTAGGGTTAAGTAACCATGGCATTCATGATACTATTCACTATTCACAACAAAGACGTTGCTCATGTTGGTAACGAAACCGTGCCACAAACGAACACCCCAACACCCCCTTAAAACTTAACTGGGCTCTTGTTAAGGACTTCAAATTGGGTTACCATAATATGGATCTATAGCAAATAATATGGTTCCTTTAGTTATGATAACTTAGATTAAAATCCTTTAACAAAAATCATGCTAGAAACCTCTGGCCTCTGGGTGCCTCTCCTTGAGGCCGTCTGCGATGCGGCGCATGGCCGGCAGTGCAAAGCTGTTGAAATTCTCCTCAGAGGACGGGATTTTTTGCCTCCTACATCAGGGGATGGGTCTAGGGGTTAGGGTTGGGGGATGGCAGATTGGCGTACGTCGTGCGCTTTTTATCTTGAATCGACGTACACAGTTATCCACACATATACGTATACACGTAACTACATATACATACTTACGTGCAACCTTACTTAACATCAGCGCCCCCGACCGAGATCTAAACATATATGCATTCATACGCACATTGACAGTATGTGTGTTCGTCTTTGCTACCTTTCTTGCTTCGTCTACGTGCGAAGATACTTGCCTGCTTTATTGGGGGCTGGGCTGGGATGCGGATGGGGACTGTCGGAGCATGAAGAAGTTCCACATCATTGCGACTTGCTGGCCTAGCTAACTTAGATCTAAAGGGCCTCTCTCTTGTTGGGTCTGTGTGTAGCGACCCTCCTGGATCCCTTTGTGCAGATACCGCATATAACCTCTGTCTTATGCGCACGCGACCCTGATACCAACATCCTGCAGAATCCAAGTGCCCTGTACTTCGACGATCCGTCCAAATCTAAGCCGCGGAGCGGGACTTATGTGCTCCCCCATCGCTTCGAAAACCTGGAGTACCTGAAAGGCTCAGGAGGGCTTCGGGTTTAGCTTTCCATTTTGGGGCCCTTCTTGCCCCGTGCAAGTATCCTTCTGCCGCAAGGGCTAGGGGGTTTAGGGCATTTTTTGGGGTTGATAGAGCTTGCAGCATTTAGGCTCATTAGGTTGGGGCTTAAAGACTTAAGTTTAAGGTTTTACGGCTTATGGCCCTATGGCTCTTAGTCTTCCTTACCCAAACGAAGCCCAAAAAAGCTAAAGAACCCGTCATTCAAGACCATGCCTCCAAGTTGTACCAAGTATCTCAACAAGGTCTGAGCCACATCCACTAGTTCCACACGCCGTTTGAAGAATGCGCAGAATAACTCTCAGCCTAAACCCTAATACCCATGTAACCCTAAACCCCGAAAAACTCTAAGAACCCTAATCACCTTGAGGTTCCAAAGGCTTTAGGGTCTCAGGCATTCGTCTTCGGGTCTTTGGGGTCCAAACCCTGTTAAATAACACCCAAAAACCAAACACTGGTAGGATACGTATTATATAAGAACCCGAATAGGAGTGCAAGTTTTCCTAATCAGGACCCTACGTTATTTTAGTAGACCTTCAAGACCTTCAAGGTTAAGGTCTTGGTGTTTGACCTTGGGTTTTCAAGGCTTCACGTTGAGGAGCTTAGCCTCGTGATTTCGGGGTCTGCAGGGATTTAGGACTAGGGTGAAGCTTGTTTGAAGGTTGTGCGGAAGATTACAAGGCCTCTAATCGTTGGTGCGCCGTGTCCGGCTCGGCGGTGCCTTGGCGAATCTTTTTGACCTGTTCATCCAGGCTGCTTTCTGGCGGCGACCCAGAAAGGGCAACTCCCGCTGCTCCGAGCGCCGGTAGCGTGTGTCCTCCGAGGAGCTTGAGGGTCGCTGGAGGCTCCTCTTGAGATCCTCCGCCCCCTTCCCTGGCTCGCCGTAGCCCCACTCCAAACATTCGTCCAGAACAGCTGCGTCATCTTGCTGTCCACCCAAAGACTGCAAAGGGACACCCCGCCGGGATGCTAGCTCCAGAGCACAGAATGCTTTGCGAATTCGCCGGCATTGTGAAGCCTCTCTCGTCTCTAGTTCTGTTATTTCCAGGGTTGTATGAACGTGCGGGCTTCCTTGGGTTCCAATTAACTCCACCAGCACTAATGTCGACGCCGACGCTGTCTTTAAGATGCCCCTGCCGGTGTAAACGAATGCAATTCTACAGTGCGAAGCCAGCCAGCAACGCAAACAGTACCCAGGACAGGCAAGCACGAGACGAAGACTGTCGGCAAGGAACACCACAGCATGTAGGACAAATCGCTGATGTCGAAACACATCTCGAAAACCGAAGTCCTAAATCCTAAACCTCAACACCGACATAATCCCAAGCCAGTTGAATGCCTGAGCACTGCAATGCTCGCTCCTCAACTGACACCACACGCTGACACAAGAACCACTAACGAGACGTTATAATCTCTAAACCCCAAATTAAGTCGCCAAATCCAAAATCCACTTTCTTGTTGCACGAGGACTTGTGCAATCTCCTGAAGGTCTGAAGGCCCTGAGACCCGAAACTCAAACCCAAACCCTTTATGTACCAATTCGAAAACCTCAAGAGACACTGACCCTTCCAGCGCCTTGCAACCCGCCCGAGCTTGGGCCGACAGGTACTCGATAATCACCTCTGACTCTAGGGTTTAGGATTTTGGGTTTCCGGGTTTAGGGGTTTCAAGCTTTTCGGGGTGTCAGGGTTTGGACTCTCGCAGCTCGGGCAACGCAGGGGAGGCCTGTCCATTCTAGGGTCTAGGTAGACCCAAAAGAAACCGAGAGAGCTGCTTCGCTCAGCAGCTCCAGCAGCTCGCGCGATGCCTCGCTCAAGGGGACCCCAACATCTTAGATACAGATATATATATATATAGGTACATACATAAATATATATATATATATATATGACTATACATTATACATACACATATGTATTTATAAACGTACTTGTATGTGTGTATACATATATATATAGACATATATACATACGCATATGTGATTGTAATGTGTAGGTGTGTATATACATACATACATACATACATACATACATACATACATACATACATACATACATACATATGTATATGCGGGCTATCTACATGTCTCTCTATATCTGTATACATATATATATATATATGTATATATACACACACGACCTTCAGCAGATGTGATATTTTCGATGTGAATGCACCTTCAACACATTTCCTTAGTTCAGGGTTGGAGGAGGTTCCGGGAACGAGGTGTACGTACCACCAGACTTGCTGATGGGAGGTAGCGGACAACACTCACAGCCAACACGACCAGCACCATAAACCTCGCGAGGCCTTGTCGAAAGGACAGTATATACATATATATATATATATACTGGTATGGAATTGTGTTGCAGAAGTCCAACCGTCAACTGCTCAGAACACAACCGAAACCCCAACGTACATGGGCCGTAAACCCTGAAGACTGCAGCCGCAGACCAAAAACAACCCAAGACGAGAGACCTCCGGATGCTCCTTGAGCCAGATCTCGCCAGCATCGGTCCTCTCAAGATCTGCAGAGCTTTACGGTCTGGGAGCTCGGGGGTTTTGGGGTGTCGGGTATATTCAGAGTTTTGCCGGATTGTAGGAGCATAGGGTTTGCGACAGCAGTTTCGAAAGGTCCCTGGACTTGGTGCAACATGGCCTCCCTCTGCAAGGACCTGGTTCCGACTCCAAACCAAATCCCTCCGCGCAAAACAGAGTTGAAGCATCTTCGGCAGTCATATCTTGAGTTGCAGGTCAGGAGACTATGTCGATTTTCAGTCATGGTACCATGTTGAGGTACTCCTGCAAGTCAGGAACGTATGGTGATATTCAGTCACGGTACCTACTTATGTTTAGGTTTCAAGCGGGGTTTTGTGTTTGCTCTTTCAAGCTCCCTAGGCCCTAATTTGAAAAGCTGCAAGCCCCAAGACAGCGCCTTTTTCCTGCCTCGCAGATAGCTTCGTTTCAGAAGCCACAAGTAGCAGCTTACGTCCTCCGGGCTCGGTAGAGTCCGACGGGCTCGGATGGAGGCACGAAGGGCAATTCTCATGGTCTGCCCCTGGGCAATGGCTGAGGATGGCTTCCGACTCCACGGCAAACGACTCTGATGCATGAGATCAGCCTTGGGATTGGTAACACCGAGAGGGCCAGGGAATGCTGACGGTGCTAGGTTCCGAAGGTGAATACTCAAGGGCTCATGTGCCGGAGCCGGCAACGGCTTAAGACTTCTCCTAAACCCTCAAGAGCTTGCGGAACTTACAAGGCTAAGCCCCATGTGACGCAGGGAGCGTCGGGACAGGCATCTCGAGGAACTCCACGCGAAAGCTTCAGCCAAAGAGCTGAGTACTTAGTGTCTTAGTGAGCTTCAGCTTGCATCTTTGCTCGAACCAGGCTTCTAGAGCCCGCCGCCTACCCTCTCTGGCAGATTCGGATTACCTAGCTTTTTTTTTAGGAATATATGAGACTCCGGTAAAAGGGGGGGTACCTGGGGGTCCTGGCGAGTAGAGCCTGGGAAAGGTGCGGCTTGAGCCAAATTGTGGATTGCTTATGTAGGGGTGGCTTTGGGCTTGGGGTTTAGAGGTTTTAATTTAGGCTTTAGGATCGTAAGAATCGTAAGAACCTTGCTATTTTGGGAGGCTTGTTAGGTTCCCATACTTTCTGATGCAAAGTGATGGAGTTGGCAAGTAGAACTCATGCAGTCGCCGTCCGCCCCTCGATCAGACAAGAAAGACCATCCGGTATCTATCCGAAGCCAAACGAGAAGCCCCCGACGTAGGTTGAGGGTTCGATCTGATACTCCGTCTCTCTTTGGCAAAGGCTGCAAGGCACGACCAGTCGGACGCCTCCATGGAAGGTTCCTCTCAGCTGCGCGTCAGGCCGGGAGTCTGGGAGCTTCGGGCGCCAGAAGCAATGGGGTCTCAAGGAGACGCCTCGCAGAAGCTCCCCGCTGCGAGGCTTCGTGCGGGGGAGACACCTACGACGTAAATAGACCCGAAGATTATGCATACATCCGCTGGAAAAAGCCGGAGAACCCCTATATATAAACCCATGAAGGCTCCGTCATAAGCTCGACTTGCAGATGCTCTGAGTCTGAAGGCGTCCCTTCATGGCTTCATGCACAAAGGGCTCGGTTTTTGGGTCAAGACATGACTCTCAGTAGGTACCGAGCGGTGATGCAAAGGCCCAAAGCCTGGAGAGACAAACCTTTTACTTTGATGACTGTTTGCAGAAGCCGCCTTGACAGCAATTGTAGCAACAGCTCGTGTCCTCCGACACTGCCACGATGAGGGCACACCGTGTGCTTGCAAATCCATGCCGCACTTTTACCGAAGCACTTGACATCATCCACGTGCTGCCTTCCGAGCTAGACCCATCGTGTACTGAGGAACCATGGGCACAGGAAGAGTTTCGGCAAGGGACTTCTGAACTCTAAATCGTTGCTATCTTCAGCTCTGAAACCAACAAGAGTAGGCTTTTGAGCTTAAATCCCCGTCCACGGCTTCGTGTCAATCAAAGGCTTGCAAATCGAATGGGGGGCGCAATGACGATGGATCTCTGAGACTGCCAGCAGTTCATGAACGCCAGGTTTTCAACAACAAGATGGGCGGCTAAGCCAGCTGGAAAGGAGGCTGCACCGAAACATCAGATGCCTTGCAGAGCCCGTCTCAGACTTGCAGAGCCCACAGAGCTGTGTCAAGCTTGCGAAGCTAATCTAGCAACTCAGTGTTTAAACTGCGCCTCCCTAGGATGTTAGCTGGAGAAGGTACAGGGATTCTTGGGCTCAGGTGTTCATGGACTCATCTGCTGTCGAAACCCTATGCTGGCAAACTTCATCGGGTAAAGCTGAAGGGCCAGCGCCGGCAGTCGCAGACTCGTGCTGATACGGTCAGACTGAAGGAACATGCTCCAGAAACTCCTCGAGAGCTTCTCAGCCAATAGAAGCCTATATATTTATTGAGTAGTTTTCAAAATTAGGGTCCCCCTTTTTATAAGGGTGCCGTACTATATTGGGGACCTACAAAGGGATCCTAATTTAGAGAACTACCCATATGTTCTGTCAACCTTGGAGCCGAAGGCATCAGAGACAGATGTATCATGGCCCATCTGCTGCCCTAAAGCTTCCAGTTGGCGCCGTCTGTCGGCAATCTCACCACTCACAGAGCCTCCTTGGGGTGCATGGCCTTGAACCCCCTCTGAATCTACAACGTGGGAGATCTTCGGCCTCGACCCAGGCATCTTGAGACAGCTCTAGAAATCCTCAGCCGGAGCAAAGTGTGGGGGTTCGGGCGGTTAGGTGTTGGAGCTTGAGGCTTATAGCAAGTGCTCTGGGCCCTGCTCCTAGCTGGAAGGCAGCACTGCAGATCACGGCAATTCCGGCTCTGCCGCTGCTCACAAGAGAGCAAAAACAACACCTCAGTGTCGCTCCGCTTCGCCGTCCGCAGTTCGGCTTTGCAAGTGTCCCGCCGGACAACGCGCTATGGGTGGAGCGTGTCTGTCAGCCAAGGGTCCGCCAAGGGCCCAACCGATCTCATGGCACACGGGAACTTCGTGGAGAGCGGACAGACCGCCAGAACCCTCAACAACTGGACGAAGAAGCCACGCCAACCCTCATTGGCCGAAGTAGCTTAAAGTCTAGGAGCGGGCTTCCTGGCAATGTGATCCCTGTGTCCTCGACTCCATGACTCCTTGCGGGACCGCGACTAGGCGGCCTCTGAGAGACATCGGCATGGAGCGTTTAAGCCACCTGGCACATCAAGGGTCTGTTGGATATACAGTGAACGCCGCTTGCTTATGAGGAAGACGTCGCACACAGATCCTCAAACGATGGCACCAAGCCAGAGAATGCTTAGTTACGATGCAGAAACCATGTCTTTCTGTGCAGCACCTACTTTCGTGGCGTAGGCCTTCAGGTGATCTTCTGAGTTTTCGTCAAGGCGATGCCTTAGGGCGAAGCAAAGCTGCCCTTCGCCTAAATCCCAGTCCTAGCCTTGCAATGGCAAGGAACTCGGAGCAAAGCGAAGTGACCCAGGAACAATGTTCTCATTCACAACACCCCAAAGCAGCACTGATGTCTCCAAGGGCATGCTCTCCTTCGGGGACTCATTCGGAACCGTTCGGAACCGGTGAACGGGTCAGGAGGAGCGCTCTATGGGTCTTTTGATGCCACAAACAACCTCGAGCTCGAAGCAAGTAACCTTCACCGACTTTGAGACTAAAGGAACGGCCTTTGACCGTAAATCGCTGTATCAAGCATTTCGTCCTCCGACTCAACCGCTTCCGAGGTACCTGGACTTGCTCAGAGCCTTTGTGAAAGGTTTGCGTTGAAACGCTGGTCTTCTCGGGCTATCCGACGGTCTGTTGGCTCTACTAAAAGGCGGAAGAAGCTGCGTAGCTCATCTTTAACTTTAGCTCACCAGGGGGCCAGGAAGGTCATTCCACGCAAGGACTATGGGAGCATCTGCCAGCTCCATGACCTCGCATTCCTCTTCAAAGCGGTCTGAATGAGGTGAGCAGAGGATAAACGAAACACACATAAGTGCTTGGGGCTTAAGTTTGGGATTTATAGCCTTGAAGGTGATTAGTCGTCCCAGCTCATGAGAGGCTTGTGCTGGGCTGGTGCAGCAGTTGCAGGGCGACTGAAGCTGGCGAATATAGAAGAACAGCAGGACATGCACAAGGCAACTGCCAGCTGCAAGAAGCTTGGCTCCGTGAAGATTCGCTTGCAAATGACCTGGCAGCACGTGCACATGGCATCGGACTTTCCTGCTCTGTACCTGGCATGCTCGGCTTTGCCAAGTTCGCGTCCTTCGGGCACGAAAACTCAGAAGAGACTTCCTAATACAGTGGCCCAGCACATCTCGGGCGAGCTTCTAGGTTGAGAGAAGTGCGACGTCGTGGCACGGCCATTGAGCCACGGCCACGCGGACTCGTCCAGGAACGCCTAAGGTAAACATGTTGGGGCATGAGAGTCCCTTTTTCTGGCAAGGCCCCAAAGCCCGAAACCCTAAACGAGCACCGAGACTCTTGCACAGCTTGAACCCAAACAGAAACTACTAGATTTACGATTCACGCAGGTGCGTCGCCCTTTGCCCTTCACTCCTTTCTTTGAGAAGGGTCAAAGCATGAAATCTGGCGCCTAAGTGCTCTACAAAACTTCGTCCTGGCCGTCAGTGCCTGGGCTCTCTGGCAGAGGAAGGTTCCAGGCTCAAAATGGATGGTTCGGAAGACCCAGCCGAGGCGCTTCAGTCCGGTGAACCTCAATTTTGGTGGCAAGCGTGAGGCTTAGACCTCAAATTCACGGCTTCTCTGGGCAACCACGGGTTTTTGCGGGTACAGCCGTTGCCTCGGCGTGGCCGGTGGCAGTGGCAGCATGGAACGCGCAGTGGCTGCAGTACGGAATGAGGTCTTTGGAAAGGCTGGTAAGGCTCTAAGGTAAGGTTTTATAAGTTTTATAGAAGGCTCTGAGGCTGGACCTGGACTTCTCTCTTGGTTCAGGCATCAACTTGAAGGAAAGATGTG